AAGAGCGGTGCTGCACGCCATTGGGAGGGCTTGCCTCTAGTTCCTTGCTTGCTAGGAACAGAGAAACCCAGTCAAGGCAGGTCAGGAAAGGAGGCTTGTAGTACAAGGACACATAAACCCAAAAGGGAGACACACAGGACCTTGTGGGAATCTGAGGGCAGGAACCGTGGTGCACTCAGGCTTCAAGGGAACTGGAACTTAGGAGTTTTCCTCCACGGTTTCAGCCTACATACATGTGGCCACCTTGGCTACTCAGCCTACCTCTGATGTTTAGGATGCTTCCACTTCAGTTTTTACCACCTACTAGCAATTTCCCTCTATGTTTGATTTCACATTTCACAAGGAGTGAATCTGAATGGCCAGCTGGTTCCTTAGATTCATGCAGCTGTGTTTAGGGTCACATGGTACCAAAGAAAGGCCACTTGGGTGACCAGATTTGTGGTCACGGAGTTTCACTTACACGTGCCTTGGCCATATGTCATGAAGCATGCCTGGTACATGCAGCCACTTTTCCAGCACAGACAATTCTATACAAAGACTTGTTGGTTCAAGGGTTTGCACACATGAGTTCCTGTCCCATATCTGTGGCTGATGCTGAAGATACTGGCAGGGTCCTAGACAGGAACTGTGGCTGAAATCTGAGTTGAAGTCATCAGGGTGGGCTGCCTCACCCCAACACATGTGTCATTTCCACCTTTTTATTTTTTTTTATTTTATTTTATTTTTTTGTGGTACGGGGGCCTCTCACTGCTGTGGCCTCTCCCGTTGCGGAGCACAGGCTCCAGACGCGCAGGCCCAGAGGCCATGGCTCACGGGCCCAGCCGCTCCGCGGCATGTGGGATCTTCCCGGACCGGGGCACGAACCTGCGTCCCCTGCATCGGCAGGCGGACTCTCAACCACTGCGCCACCAGGGAAGCCCCCCCACCTTTTTATTAATAGCATCTGTGTTATACTGGACTCAGTCAGGTTACGTTTTCTCCTTTTGGAGTGGCTCTGGCCCAAAATATTAAGCATCCTTGGCTCCTTAAGGACCAGCATTTGGTTCTTGTCTCCTTTCCCTCCTGGAGTGTCTCCTCTCTGCCCATAAGACTGAGGCTCGTATGGGGCTGCTTTCTCTTCCCTGCACTCCCCCTGCCTTTTCTGCCGTATGCCCGTTTTCCGGAGTATCAGCTCTCTCCTCCCTGTTGCCAGGGTTGTGGTGGGCTAGAATAAGCTCCACCGTCAAGACCCATTCCTAACACCACCTGCATGAAGGGAGTTCACATTTGCCCTCTCCAGATGAACGCGTTTATTCCCTACTGGATGGCCCAGTGGGCAGGGCTGAGGCTGCAGAGGCAGGCAGACTTGGGTCACACCCCAGCTTTGCCCCTTGGAGGGCACAAATCAACGGCCACACTTCTGGAGTCTTGGCGCATGGGCATAATGATACCTGGCTTGTGGGGTGGTTGTGAGACTTCATGACATTTATTACAGTTCGAACTTCGAACACAGAGCTTGCTATTTAGCAGACTCTCAATAAATGATAACTTTTTTGGCTTTGTTTTTTAATAGAAAACGGGGAGTTTCTTTCCCTGGATCTTGGAGGATCTAAGTTTCGAGTCTTGAAGGTGCAAGTCTCTGAAGAGGGGAAACGAAATGTCCAGATGGAGAGTCAGTTCTACCCAACACCCAATGAAATTATCCGAGGGAATGGCACAGAGGTAGCAGGGCAGGGGCTCTGTGAAGGTGGGGGAAGGCCTTGGCATCAAGTTCCTGGGTGACCGTGCCTTAGCCCCGTGTCCTGTGCTCTCTCTTCTCTGCAGCTGTTTGAATACGTAGCTGACTGTCTGGCAGATTTCATGAAAACCAAAGACCTGATGCAGAAGAAATTACCTCTTGGCCTAACCTTTTCTTTTCCCTGCAAACAGACTAAGTTAGAAGAGGTAAGGCTGGTGCAAGGGAGGGGGAGCTGGATAGGATTTGGGTTTGGGGCTGGAGAATGGCACGTGCAGGGGTCAGGCTGGGAACAGGAGAGATCAGCAGGAGTTTTCTTGTTTGATTTTTCTTTTTTTTTAAACAGTGAGGTGGAATTGTGAGGCAGGGAATATGTTAACACGGCTGCCTTGATTTTACACTTCCTAGGGGCACAGCACAGGGAACAAAATGGTTTTCACCACCAAGCTCAGTGGTTCTCAGACCTTGGTTGTGTTGGAATCCCTGGAGGGTTTGTTAAACACAGATTGCTGGGCCCCATGCAGGAGTTTCTTAATCATTGGGGCCTTAGATTTGTATTTCTAATAGGTTACTGGGTGATACGAATGCTGCTGGTCTGGTGACCACTCTCAGAAGCATTGACACAGCTAACTAGAATAAGAGGGGGAAGACTTGGGGAGTCTCCCTCTACAGTGAGCGCTTAGGAGGAGGACTGAGGTGGGGTCACTGGAGTGACAGTGTTACTGGACAGACCCAGCACCTGAGATGTATAGTCTCAGCTGTGCCACTAGCCAGCTGGAGTCTCCGGTAATCCATCTCTGTGTGCCTCAGATTTTCAATTTAAACTTTTCAATTCCTACCCTCTTTCCTCTCTCTTCTTTTTCCTACCTTGAAAAAGTATTACCATTTTATCATCAGAAACACACACACACACACAAAGAAATTTCTCTTTGGCTAAGACTTGGCTAAACAGGGAGAAGGCAAAGCTGATCTTATGTGAATCTGTGACAATAAACAAGGGGCCATATAAAAGGACAATGAGCTTTCTGGGACCAGGGGGTTATTGTCACAAGTCAGGTCTCCGCAGGCCACTCCTGCCTGGGGTGGTGGTCTGTGAGCTCCTGCTGCACAGACTGGTCGTGACACCCAGCTCATAGTCAATTCATGGACCACCTTGACTTGGGATGTGTTTGATATTGTTGGCTTGAGCCACTTATTGATAATGGGATAGTGGGAAGGGAATGGGTTTTCACATCCCACAGACCTGGCTTTGAATCCTGGCTCAGAGCAAGTTGTGTCCCCTGGGCAATTTACTTAACTTCTTGGGTCCCTTGTTTTCTTATCTGTAAAACAAGGATAATATCTACTTGCTGGGCTGAGGTGAAGCTTAGACGAAGCATCTGTAATGCGCTGAGCACTGTGCCTGGTGGATCAATGGTAGCTGCAATGTTTTGACAATTGTCCCTATACAACTTGTCTCTTCATTCTTTTGTACCTTGTCCCCCAATTCCACAGATGTTTCTGGAGGGCAGGCACTGTTTTATATTGTTCTTCCTCTCCATCCCCAGGGTCTCTAGCACAATGTCTTATATTTAATAGCTATTTGATAACTATCTGACAATTGAAAGGTGCAATCAATCATTTATTAGATTCCATTGAATGGGAATTTGCCATCATCTGTCTATATGGGAGATGGGCTGAGGTTTACTTTTTAATTATTTTCTTGAGAAAGAATTAGAAAAAAATAGTGTGAAGAAGGTTTCAGGGAATGTTAGAAGAGGCCAGGTGGAGCTTCGCTTGTGTTTGTAGACTGGAAGAGCAGAGGTCCCCTGAGTCAGTAGGGAAAGTGGGAGGAGTCAGGAATCAGGCCTCAATTCACCAAACAGTTAAACACCTCTTATTTGAGCTTAGGAACAGAGACCTCAAGAAGAAGGAAGATGATGATGATGATGATGATGATGGTGATGATAGACTGTATCTCAGATTTTGACACTGTGTCTTGCACTCTGATGAACTCTTTATGTGTATAACCTCATTTAAATCCCAAAGCAATCGTATGAGGGAGATATAATTATTTCCACTTTATATTTGAGAAAGTGCAGTTCAGAGAGGTTAAGAGACTTACCCAAGGCCACACAGCCAAGAATGGCTCAGCCCAAGCTCACAAACTCCCTGACCACACTGACTTTCCAAAAAGACACAGGTCTAGAATGTTTAAAATGCCAGCAGGTGCCTGAAAGCATTTTGACCCATTTTGTGTTGTATCCCAATGAGGGTTTTCAGACGACATTTAAACGAGGCAAGGGTGGCTTGATTATATCGAGGAAGGGAAAAACTTTTTCTCTTCAAAGTCTAGTTGAATAACCTGCATTTTATAAAATATCCTCCCAAGCTGCCTTTCAGTGAAGTCTAAAGTAGAAAAGCTTCTGCCACAAGGAAATGCGTTAGTAATAATAACCGAGAGTGGGCATAGCTATTACCGTGATTGTGCTGCAGATGTAGATTTATGACATGAAAATAAGGGCTTTGGAGAAGGTGGAGTCTGATCAGCCATGTAAGTGCAGAAGGAGGTGGGAAGGGGAAGACTTCTTATGAGGAGGTATGGCTAAGGGGGATTCTTTGTAAAACTAAAAAATGATTAAAGATCAGGGCATTGGAATTAAAGGAGGATGTTAGTTTGTTGTTGCTGTTGTTTTGTTTAAGTGAGGGAATGGAAAAGTCTTAGCCAAAGAGAAATTTCTTTGTGTGTGTGTGTGTGTTTCTGATGATAAAATGGTAATACTTTTTCAAGGTAGGAAAAAGAAGAGAGAGGAAAGAGGGTAGGAATTGAAAAGTTTAAAGAAGAAAATAGAAATCTCCTCTAATCCCAACCTTCAGAGATACGCCCTACTAGAATTGTTGGGTTTTCCTTCCAGTCATATCTATATTAAATGCTGGTGTTATACTGTATGTGTAATTTAAAAATATGTAGATGTATGTATAGCTTTTTTTTCACTTAACAATATATCACATGCATTTATTCCCCACTCCCCCATATATACTCCCCCCAACAGGTCCCACGTTGTCCCTAGCATCCTTTTTGGGGGGACACCACCCTACAATCTCTCAATCCTCTGTCTGGTGGGGCAGGGATGTTACCATAGCCCATGAGGGCAGAATTTAGAGCTACCACTAGGTAGCGCTGTGGGGCAGGGAGAAACCTGGTCACTGGGGGGGTGGGGTGCGTCAGAGACCTATGTTCCAGTTGGGCTCTGTCCTTCACTCACTGTGACACCTGGAACGGCTTCCTTCCTCTCTAAAGCTTGGCTGCTTTATCCATAAACTGAGGGGGTGGGGATGGTCAGGGAGTCAGTAAGTTTGGGCTCAGCTCCTCTTGACTATGTGACCTTGGGCAAGTCTCTTAATCTCCAAGTTCTCTTCCAGTCTGAAAAATTCTGTGATTATTTGCTATGTTAGACATGAAACTCTTGAGAAACACCAATTGTAAGCAGATAATTGATAATGCAAATTGAGCACTATTTTTCTAAGTTGAAATGAAGTCCCTGAGGGAGTCTTACAAGGTAACATGTCAGTTCTGCTTTGTGGACCTTGCAAACCAGGCATTCTGCACACATCATGCGTCTACCGTATGCCGGTACTTCTATCAGAGCAGTCCTGTGACAGAGGCAGGGAAGTGATGTTTCCATTTTACAGATGAGTAAACTGAGGCTCAGAGAGGTTAAATGACTTGGACAATGTCTTATGAATCTAAGTGTTCTGACTCTGCTGCCATTGTTCTTTCTGCCCCTATGTATTATGTTTTAAACTGCTCAGATGAGAGTAATAAACATGTCAAAATTATTAGAAAAGGCCTCTGGAGAAATGTTGAAAGGATTGGTGTGATTCAGCTTAAAGAAGAGAAGGCCACAGGGGGATACAGTTTAAGCATGAAATTTCTGCAGTTTCAGAACTGAGTGCCTTCCTTATTTTGTCTGGATCTGAAATCTTCCCCCAGGGTGTCCTGCTTTCATGGACAAAGAAGTTTAAGGCGCGGGGAGTTCAGGGCACAGACGTAGTGAGCTCTCTGACCAATGCTATGAGAAAACACAAGGTAAGGAATCCATCTCCGCGTGGGGAGGTCTCCCAGTTCTAGCCCCTTTCTCTTGCGGGGGTGAGGGGAGGATGTGGAGGAGGGTTATCTCCTACATGCCTGCCCTCAAAGGAGAATCAGAGATGGATTTGATCTTAGGGAAGTTCTCACTGTAGCACAGATGCTGCCGATTTGGATAAACCCACCTGTGAGCCTTGGCATGTGGAGAGTGTTCCGATCACTGTTGAAGGGTGACCCGCACTTCCCTGGGGCCTCCCCAGCTGCCACAGCCCCTCGGGGGTCTTGGTTAGACCTGATGCTGTGTGTGATGCTCCAACTGCCACCTTGCCTCTCTGAGGCTTAAAAGGTCACTTTCTTTGCTGTCTGGTTCTTGATCCCACTTTCCACTCTCTACTCATTGAGTATTTCTGTTTGTTGAATACATTATGATAATTTAAAGAACTATAAAAGAAAGACATGCTCCTTGCAGAGCTGAGAAGTACCCAAATGACTTGCTACCATGATAGCATGAGGAATATATTGATGTATACCCTTCCACTCTTTTTTCTCTTTAAAAGTGCTCTCATGTTCTTTTGTACCCTTTGTTTTTCTCTTATTGTTTTCATTTCACTTTAAAATGCTCCCCCAAACCTTGTGGAACCATGGTGTAATAACCCACGTTGACTTGGTAGAGCGGGAAACCCATGGTGGTGCCCACGGAGAGGACTTGGCTGAGGCTAGTTAAAATGTCCCCATGGGCAAGGACTTTGGTGTTTTCTCCTGGAAACGCTATTGCTCCTATAGGATAAACATGCTTTTCTCAGGGTCCCTCAAACATGGGCTGGAGTCCTGGTGATCGATCCCTCGTATTTTCATTGCTCAGAGGCTTTCACCCGCAGAGCAGGAGCATGAGTTCCACTATTCAGCTCCCAGCTGCTCTTTGTCTCCCCTGAACCTTGACAAAGGCCTTATTCCTTACAGGCAGGCCCAGAAAGCAGGATCTAGAGATTGTCTCAACCAGGCACCTTCACTGCTTTTGCTTCCTCTGTGGGGAAACATAAACGGATAACACCTCCCTCCCACCCACTGATGCCCTCTGGGACTTGTGTTCCAGCAGGACTTAGATGTGGACATCCTGGCTTTGGTCAATGACACCGTGGGGACCATGATGACGTGCGCCTATGATGATCCCTACTGTGAAGTTGGTGTCATCATTGGTAACTCAATTTGACTTCCTTTGTGGAGGAGGGTGAAAGGGGTTGGTTTGGGGCTTAGTTTCGGGGAACTCTGAGTAAATTCTGTGGGAAGGTTATTGGCACTTTCTACTTAGAAGAAGCAACATAGGGAGATGGAAAATTAATATACGCATTCATTCAACAAGTGTTTACTGAGTGCCCGTTGTGTGCCGGGCCTTGTGCTCTGCATCAGATTCTCAGTGGTGAGAGTCCCAAAGGTTCCTGTGCTCATGAAGCTTTCAGCACGGAGGTGGGTGAGAGACCGAAAAGGCCTAAACAAGTAACATAATTTCAGGTGGTGGTTAGTATGATAAGGAATATAAAGCAGGGTGATGTGACTGAGAGTGACTGTGGTGCGGTGGTCAGGCCGGGCCTTGCTGAGCAGTGACATTCGAGCAGGGGCCTCAGTGATGAGAAAGAGGGAGCGAAGCAGAGCTGGTGAGGAAGAGAGTCCCTGTGGCCTCTGAGGTGGGAATGAGTCCGGGGTGCTCGAGAAACCCTAAAAGGCTGAATCAAAGCGAGTGAGGCTGAGGGTAGAAGGCCTTTCACGTGAGAGAGTGGACAGGACTGGGCAGGTGGCCTAGGACACGGAGCACAGTCACTGGAAGGTCTTTGGCTTTTACCCCAGGGGAGACAGGGCACGGGAGGACTTTGTGTGGCAGATAGATAAGTGGGGTGTGCATTTTAATTTATTTTTTAATTATAAATTTATTTATTTTTTGGCTGCGTTGGGCCTTCGTTGTTGCGTGTGGGCCTGGACCAGGGAGGCCGCAGCGCGGCGGGGGTGTCTGGTGGGTGGTCCCAACACCTGAGCTGGGAGGGGCTCTCCTGGAGGGGTCCATGAGAAGACTGTGCAGGGGACAGTAAGGCCAAATGGACCAGGTTTATAGGCTGTTCTCAAACATCCCTGCAGCTTCCCTTTTCCTTTACCACTATTGGGGGAAGTTTTCTGAATTGCTTTTTCTTAATTTCCAACTCACTCTCCTCAGCCTGACTTTCCCAAAGGGCAGGATCTCTACAGCGGAGGGGCTTGATCTGCCTTCCTGTTTCTGGAGCCCCACACCTCTGAATGGGCCTGGCGCTTGTCTGTCATGGCATCTGCTACTGCCCACTGTGTGTGTCTTAGCGACTGTGTCTGGTAACCTGCCAATTGGGTGCCATGCCTAAACAGTGTCTGTGCTTTTCCGAGAAAAGCTTTTTCCAAATATTCTGTTACACTCTGATTCTCTACATCTCTTATTTCTCATGTTGGCTTTAAAATTCTGACACCAGAGTATCAGCCAGGGGAAGATACTTTAAAAAAAATATTTTTTTAAACAGCTTTTTTGGGGAATTCCCTGGCAGTCAGTGGTTAAGACTCCGTGTTTCCACTGCTGGGGGCCTGGGTTCGACCCCTGGTTGGGGAACTAAGATCCCGTAAGCCACGCGATGTGGCCAAAAACAAAAACAAAAACAGCTTTACTGAGGCATAAAATCCTCTCATTTAATTATATAATTCAGTGATTTTTAGTGAATTTATAGAGTTTTGTAACCATCACCACAATCCAATTAGCACATTTCCATTATCCCAATAGGTCCCAAAGCTACTGGCTGCAAATTGTGCCTATCTGCAGCCACTCACCACTACTCAAGTGTCTGAGGTATTTCCTTGGAGTGAGTTTGTGTTTGAATAATGGCATGTTGCTTTCTTATGTGATAGCTAATCACTGTCAAAGATAAGGGTGTAGCTTATGCTAGGAACAATTTGTGGCAGGCAATGAGTAAGGAATATTTTTAGTATCAAATAGAAGCTAAGTAGCATAGGGAAAGGATTAAAAATATTACTGTGGGTCGGTGATTTTTTTTTAATATATTTACGAAGTTTGGTTAACTCATCCTCCTCTTAGTAAATATACTGTCAGCTTTCATACATATTCATCAGGGACTGCGTCACAATTGACTCCATTGATAACAGCAAACCATTAACACCCTGGCAAGTGTAGGCTTGGCATGTCAGCTTTATTCCTCATGAACTCCCCAGCTCGCCAAAAGCTGCTTCCCTCAGCGAGAACCAGCCCCCGGAGTGGATCAAAAGCACTTTGTGATGCGTTCAGAGGACTCTTGGGCAGTTGAGAGTCCCCTCTGTCTTTGTCCAGCTGGGAGCCCTCACGTCTCTGTTTTCTCCCTGATCCCTCGTCCAGGCACCGGCACCAACGCGTGCTACATGGAGGACATGAGCAACATCGAGCTGGTGGAAGGCGACGAAGGGAGGATGTGCATCAACACTGAGTGGGGGGCCTTCGGGGACGACGGGGCCCTGGAGGACATCCGCACCGAGTTCGACCAGGAGCTGGACCTCGGCTCTCTGAACCCCGGGAAGCAGCTGTGAGTACCCTGCGCTGTAATCTGGGCATCGGCACCAGTAAATGTCCACTTACTCAGGTATGCTGTATACCTGGGAGGCTTCTTAGCTGTGACTCGTTACCCATCACAGGGAGTTTATGAATCAAGGCTTGTATTTCAGTTTCACTGGACAGATGAGGAAAATGAAAGCCAAGGAAATTGAGTGATTCGAATTCAGTCCAGAGGTAGGGGAGATACAGCTGTGAACTGAACTAGGTGTCCTGCCTTCTTGGCGCATTTGGATGAGTGGCCACAGAACAAACCAGTGCAGCCTGAGGAAGCACACACTCCTCATTTGTGTTCCCCTTCCGCCCCGACCCCTCCTTCTCCGAGGCCTAATCATGCAGCACCTGGTGTGAGTCCCTCTCAGTCTCAGGTCTTGCCGAGCCTTTCTCTGCTCTCATCCCACACTCACCTGTGGTATAAGTGTTCAGGGTCTGCCTCAGCTCTGCCTGTTTGCTGAGCTCCCGGAAGGCGGCTACACCTGTGATTTTCCTTTCCTTTCTACACATAGGGTCTTACACATTATTGCAGTTCATTAAGTGTTTGTTAAAAAAATAAGTGTTGAATGAAAAAACGCTTAAAATTTTAAAAAATAATTTCAGACTTACAAAAAAGTAGTGAAAATAGTATAAAATTCCCCTTCACTCAAATTCCCTAATAGTAACATTCTCTCTCTGTGTATATGTATATACACAGACACATAAAATACACATATGTCTATATAAAATTATTTTTCTGAACATTTGAGACTAAAATCACAAACATAATATCCCTTCACCCCTAAATACTTCAGAGTGTATTATCTGAAAAGAATTACATTCTCTTATATAATTAAAGTATAATTGTCAAAATTAGGAAATTAACACTTAATCAGTTCTAATCTCTAATTTACAGATCTTATTCAAAACTCACCTGCTGCCCCACTAATGTCCTTTAAAAAAAAAAAAAATTGTCCTGGTCCAGGTCCAGGATCACACATTACATGTTGCTGCCGTGTCTCTTTAGCCTCCTTTAATCTTCTGTAATATCTGTTTGGTTTTCATGATCTTCAAGCATGCAAGCCATTTATTTCACAGAATGTCCCTCAACTTGGATTTGTCTGACGTTTCCTCATGATTAGATTCAGGGGATGTATTTTTGGCAGGACTATCACACAAGTGGTGTGTGTCCTCCCCTGGGCATCGGATCTGGAAGCACATGTTTGTTCCTTACTGGGGATGCTGACTCAGATCACTTGGTTAAGGGGATATGAAAGAGGTTTCTGCACCATAAGGTTATTATTATTCTCTCTATAATGAATAAGTATCTGGTGAAGAGATACTTTGAGACTATGTAAATATCCTGTTTCTCATTAAACTTTCACTCTCTAGTTTTAGCATCTATTGATGAATTTCTAGATCCATCATTCCCTGTAGGTTATTAGTTGTTATTCTACTATAAGTAAGAGCTTTCCTATCTCCTCCATTTATCTACTTATACTAATATGGATTTTTTTTTTATTTAATGGGTTATAATTCCTTCCTATTATATTTCTTTTTTTTTTTTTTTTTGTGGTACGCGGGCCTCTCACTGTTGTGGCCTCTCCCGTTGCGGAGCACAGGCTCCGGATGCGCAGGCTCAGCGGCCATGGCTTACGGGCCCAGCCGCTCCGCGGCATTGTGGGATCTTCCCGGACCAGGGCACGAACCCATGTCCCCTGCATCGGCAGGTGGACTCTCAACCACTGCGCCACCAGGGAAGCCCTATATTTCTTTTGATATTCAAATTCTTTTCAGATTTAGCCAGTGGAAGCGCCTTCAAGCTAGTCCCTGTGTCCTTTTGACATGATTCCATCACTCTTTAAGTACTTCTTTATTTTCTGGCACAGTAAGATGCTCTAGGCTCACCATGCACTTTCCCAGCCGCAGCCCTGAAATCAACCATTTTCCCAAGAAGCCCTGGTGAATAAATATTTTAAGTACCTCCTAGAAACCACTTAACACTAGAAGTGCATACCTGGGGAGCAAATTTCTGCTTTGGATGCACCTGGTCCCCAGCACACACCCATTTCACTGGTGACACAGAGCAGCCACAGCCCAAGAAGTGGTGCCATTTTGGGGACTTTATCATCCTCATCCTATCCATTTCACTTAAAATAAATTCCACTCCCCCAAACCCAACCTGGATTTCTTTTGATTGTCTTGTTTCTGCAATGTTCTAAGACTTTATATGAAATAGATAAAGTTGATTAGGAAACAGGTTGTCCTTGATTTTGTATCTTATGTTTGCAGAATAAAAATTATATTTAATAGTTTACTTGGGAAACAGTAAGTAATTGCTTGTTGTATGCAGACTGAGAGTCCAGGTGTAGGTAGCCTGGTGGGATATTTCATCCATATTATTGTAGAACCTCTCTGGAGCTATCCAAGCCCATCTCACAGACACAGCATGTTTCTCTCTTGGGCAGAAACATGTGTAGGAGTTGGAAACATTTGAAATTTGGATTTGTCATGCTGTGGTTGGTGATCCTGGGAAAGTACCTGAAGTCTCTGAAGTTGAGATTCCTTATGCCTAATATGAGAATGGCACCCCCATGGCCAAGGGTGATTTGAGATAAAGATTTTTGGAATCAAGCACTTTGTGATCAGGAAAGAATCTTCGGTTTCCTCTAGTTTAGTCCTCGCCTTTTACAGGTGAGAAGAATGTAGCTCAGAGAGGATGAGTGGGCTCCCAAGGGTACCCCAAGCTGGGACAGGGACTGAGGCCTCCTGACCTGTAAAGAGGCCCTTCCACTACTCATGCTTCAAACCATGGGCTGTGGCTCATGGGCTTTGGGAAAGGATGCTGCATAACCAAAGGCATTGCTGCCACTGATCTGTTCACCAAATTGTAGGTTTGAGAAGATGATCAGCGGCCTGTACTTAGGTGAACTCGTCAGGCTCATCTTGCTGAAGATGGCCAAGGCAGGCCTCCTGTTTGGCGGCAAGAAATCCTCCGCTCTCCACATTAAGGGCAAGATTGAAACACGGCATGTGGCTGCCATGGAGAAGTAAGCTGCTGGCAGGGTCCCTTCCACCTTGACTCTGCAGAGGGTTAGGGTGGGCAACCAAGGAGTGGTGTGCTCGTGGTGGTGGTGCACAGAAGGAACCAGATCTTCCTTCTTCACAGGATTTCATACCTGGACACAGCTTCGGGTGGATTAGCAATGCCTGCCATGCCTCACATGTGGCTTCTTGTTGGTTTCAGCAGCCAGGGATTCTGCTGTCTGGAGGTCTGCACCCTCCTCATGTTTTGTTACCTTTTTCCTCACTGAAGTGGTGACATAACTTTTTTTTTTTTTTTTGCGGTGTGCTGACCTTTCACTCTTGTGGCCTCTCCCGTTGCGGAGCACAGGCTCCAGACGCGCAGGCCCAGCGGCCATGGCTCATGGGCCCAGCCGCTCCGCAGCATGTGGGATCTTCCCGGACCGGGGCACGAACCCGTGTCCCCTGCATCGGCAGGCGGACTCTTAACCACTGCGCCACCAGGGAAGCCTGGTGACATAACTCTTTTAGGGTCACAGACCCCTTTGAGAATCTGATTTAAGTTCTGGACCCTTTACCCCCAAAATGCACATTTGCACACCATTTTGCTTATAATATCAGGGCATCCTTGGACCCGTTAAAACCCAAGCATGGAATCCAAGTTAAGAATTCCTGCTATAGCAATAACCTTCTCTACCTGGTACTGTCAGGGACTGGCTTTGGCTTTGGCTTTGGCTTTGGCTTTGGTGATTAGGGGGCTCACACAAAGGTGTGCAGTGGGGAGCTGACTGGTGATGGTGGCTGGCCCCAGTCGACCCAGGATCCTGTTCCTCAGGCTTAGAAACCCTGGCATTGCCCTGAGCTTTGCAATCAGCTTGGATTCTGAGTTCAACAGGGTGACATCTGACTTCCAGAGTCTGTGTTTATGCAGAGCTTGACAGAGACTGAGTTTCTGTAAAAGGCAGTATAGCACAGGATGCTTAAAAGGGTGGGCTCTGTAATCGAACTGCCTGAGTTCAAATCCTGCCCCTTGCACTTACCAGCTTTGTGCCTGTGGACAGGTTACCTACCCTGTCTGTGCCTCAGATCCCTCTTCTGTGCAATAGGATAATGACAGTACTCCCCCCAGGATTGTTGTGAGGGCTGAGTTAACACATGTCAAGTCCTTAGACAAGCACCTGGCACATAGTGTGCAATAAATAGTGGCTGCCGTGATCATTGTTGAAATCGTCATTATTATCACATGACTATGTGCCAGGCTGTTTATTTTCACAGTCCTGAGAGGTGGGAATGCTGGCTCTCTGAGGGGGACTCCCACGGGATGGAGAAGTGTGGTCCTCTCATTCCTATCCCTTGGCTAGGTATAAAGAAGGCCTGGCTAATACAAGAGAGATCCTGACGGATCTGGGCCTGGAGCCTTCAGAGGCCGACTGCATCGCGGTCCAGCATGTCTGCACCATCGTTTCCTTCCGCTCAGCCAATCTCTGTGCAGCAGCCCTGGCAGCCATCCTAACACGCCTGCGGGAGAACAAGAAGCTGGTGCGGCTCCATACCACGGTGGGCATGGATGGCACACTCTACAAGATCCACCCCCAGTGAGTGCTGGCCACCGGCCCACACCCCCTGCAAATGAGTCCAGTCTGTCTGCTTGGAACCGAGTCCAGTTTTGTCTCTAAACTACGCGGCTTCTCTGGGTTGCTGGACCCAACTGCCTTCTGTGGTTCTGAGATTACAGGGGAAGGAGTGAATTCAGAGATTACATTCATCTAGCTGGCTGGGTTGCTTTAGGGGATCATTCTTAAAGGAATATTCTGCTAAAACCAGTCGCCCAACTAGCAAAGCCATGTGTTTATCCATCTGTCTATCCATCTATTCATCTATCTATCCATTATTATTATTATTAAATACTTGCTATGTGGTAAGATTGGAAAGTAAGATACATCCAGTTATAAATGGGGGAAAATCAGGATGGCAGGGGTTGCCAAGTCCACATGAAAGATACCAGTAGGAAGACAGTATCGTTTGAGTCTACTTGGGGGGAAAAGAATAACAGCAGTAAACAACAGTATTCAACTATTCGTTCTTTCATCGCTTTTATCCCTTTGCCTTTATTCCTCAAGGTTTCATTAAGTACCTGCTACTTGTCAGGCTCTGTTGTAAGCCCGGTAACAGAGCAGTGAAGAAAACACAGTCCCTACCCTTATGGAGCCTAAGTTCTGTTGGGTTGGCAAACAGTAAACAAACAGGGAAATGAGAATTTCCCAGAAGGAGGGAGCACAAAAGTCCCTCTGACTAACAGAGGTGTTATTGGAAGTCAGGTGGGTACACCTGGGAAGAGCTAGGCAAAGAACCCTTCCCCTTTGGGCAGAGATGATGTTCAGCCAATACATTATGTGTGGACATGCACTACTGCTTATAATATTAGTGATAAAATAACCACTTCTTTGAGCCTTCCAAGTGTCCCTTCCACTGTCCCAGCTGCCCTGGTCCCTACCCCTACTCACCCCCATCTTCCCCCTCCATCCAGCAACTGAAGGGGTGAGCCTTGGCCCAGCAGGTCTCCCCAGGAGCCTGTTCCTCTGCTACACCTGTGTCTGTTTCTATTGGCTGGGCCCGGGCCTTTATGATTTTTACATATTTTGCCATCCCCCCTCCACCTCCAGATACCCAAAACGCCTGCACAAGGTGGTGAGGAAACTGGTCCCAAACTGTGACGTCCGCTTCCTCCTGTCGGAGAGTGGCAGCACCAAGGGGGCCGCCATGGTGACTGCAGTGGCCTCCCGCGTGCAGGCCCAGCGGAAGCAGATTGACAAGGTGCTGGCTTTGTTCCGGCTGACCCAAGAGCAACTTGTGGGCATTCGGGACAAGATGCGGGTTGAGCTCGAGTACGGGCTGAAGAGGGACACCCACCCGCTGGCCACGGTCAAGATGCTGCCCACCTACGTCTGCGGGATGCCAGATGGCACAGGTGGGCCATGCACAGCTCCCTTCTCTGATGGGCCACCCAGAGCTCATATCAAAACTCCTTAAATCCAGTTAGGTCTTTTGTTTCAAGAGCCTTGGGTTCATGTCTGTAATGGAGGGAGGAGGGTTGGGGTAGAAGGTTAGTACTCTGCTCAATCTGTTTGCTTTGGCTGATCCACGGCACTGGCAGTGAAGATTACCTAAATTAGGTTCCATGTGTGTGAAGACCCAGATGCTGTTCCCAGGGGCTACCATCTGGACACTTGGAGTGTCTGGCTTGTCTTCCACCCTCTTCTCTGGCTCTCTTCTCTCCTGGGGCTTGGCTCTCTTCCTCTCCCCTCTCTTCACTTTCTGCCTCTGACTTTTCCGATACTTTATCCTTCTCCTGGTCCTCTGCTCGTCTGACGGTAGCCACAAAACAGTGAGGTCAGTTCTTTAGACAGGTTACTCCACCTCTTTGAATCTCATGAGTCTCACCCAGATATAATGACCTTTGTAAAATGCTTCATATCTTTAATTTGCTTTTGAACATTTAATTTCATTTTGTGCTCACAACTACTCTGTATGTTTTATAAAGAGAATGATTCCCATTTTATGGATGCCCAAACTGAGACTCAGAGAGGTTAGGTGACATACTCAAGGTCACACAGTTGTACTTGGAATCTCTCAACAAAGATCTTTTCTAGAGCCAGTATCGTTTGAGTCTACTTGGTGGGAAAACAATAACAGCAGTAAAATACACTATTCAACTATTCATTCTTTCATCACTTTTATCCTTTTGCCTTTATTCCTCAAAGTTTCATTAAGCACCTGCTACTTGTCAGGCTCTGTTGTAAGCACGGTAACAGAGCAGTGAAGAAAACACAGTCCCTACCCTTATGGAGCCTAAGTTCTGTTGGGCTGGCAGACAGTAGACAAATAAACGCCAGGTGATGCCATGTAATGACAGGGCTATGAAGAAAAATAGACCACCATCAGGGGTAAGAGAACTGGCTGAGAGTGAGGTCTTTGGCAAATTCAAGGAACAGCAAAATGCCCAGTGTGGCTAGAACAGAGTGAATGAGGCAGGGAGAGAGGTGAGGAATCACACAGAACAGACTGACATGCTCTGCAATGTCAGAAAACCGAGAGGCACTGCACTGGGGGGCCCTGGACGGTGATGGGCGTCAGACTCGATACAGTTTCTTATTAGTCAGGTGGGGGTGTAAGAATCCAGGGAAGGGGCGAGCAGGACAGAAGAATCATTTCATGCTCAGGATGAACAGCTCCTCTAGGCCATATGACAGGATGGAAGCACCTTCCCGAGTCCATTGTAGTCAGGTAGCCTGGCCTGGATTCACCCTCAGAGCCTCCCTGAGCATAAGTATCATGTGTGGCCTTTACCAGACAGCAAGAAAAGCAGGCTGGCCTCAGATGGGCTCAGGATGCCTGCCCAGTGCCCTGACACTGTGCTTGGTGACCGCCACACCCCTTTGGCCCATGAGCCCCAGGCTGGCAGGCTCTGGATCTGCTCACTTTCAGCATCACCTCTTCCTCCCAATGCCTGCACACAAGGCCCTGCTCGGTGCGTGCCGGTGGAATGCAGCCCCCGCTTTCTCCACCACAGAGAAAGGAAAGTTCCTCGCCCTGGATCTGGGGGGAACCAACTTCCGGGTCCTCCTGATGAAGATCAGAAGCGGACGGAGGTCAGTGCGAATGTACAACAAGATCTTCGCCATCCCCCTGGAGATCATGCAGGGCACTGGCGAGGAGGTAAGTGCCGGGCAGGGGGATCCGCACTCCGAGGTGCCAGCCTGCCACCCTGTACAGTGCAGGCCTGGCATGACTGCCGCTCTCTCCCTGCAGCTGTTTGACCACATTGTGCAGTGCATCGCTGACTTCCTGGACTACATGGGCCTCAAGGGAGCCCAGCTGCCTTTGGGCTTCACATTCTCATTTCCCTGCAGGCAGGCGAGCATTGACAAGGTAAGACGGCCCAGCCTGGTGGGTCCATTCCCTCCTAAACCTGGGGAAGCTCGAGACAGCCCTGAGTCACTGTTCATTTTATTTCGGGGTCTCAGGTTCAGGGCAGCTGGGGAGACATGATCGAGAATTTGGACCATTTAATTTTTTTCTATTTACTGTGTTCCCTTTTCATTTTTATTGTTTCTTTGATTGAAGTTTACAAAATAAGTTAGTATAGTATACAATAAAGGGACACTTGGATAAGGCTACTGTTAAAAGAGAGGTCAAATCATATTATCGAGAGATAAGAAGAGGTAACGACCAATTAAGGCCAGTTATAACTCTTAGTCTACAACATTACCTGGTTCTTCCTGTGTAAACAGGGAAATGCAATAGGTTGTAGGGTTTTTATTGTCTGATGAACAAAAGCATACCAGTGCATCAGAAGAAATGCATTTCTTTCCTGATATTAGAATTTCAGGAGTTTATCACATAGGCACTTACCTAGTTGACATTGAAGAACATCATGGATAATGATTTTAATAAATTATTCATAATAATTTAGAAATGTACATCACAAGATTTTTCTTGGAATTCTTGGATAAAAGCACCATTCACCAGCTTATGGAGAACAGAGTACTCTCTTTTGCTCTCTGATAGGCTTATGTCAACCAAGCTTACAGGACTGGCATAAAAGCACGACACCACTCCTCAATTTATAGAGAGAACTCTGGTTAGCACAGCAAGTCAGCCAGAGAGCTTATGACAATAATAAGAGTGACACCAAAGATTTGTTAAGATTTTGTGTAATCCAGTCAATGTCCCCATGATGTACACACTATTTTTTGCTTTGTTTGTTTTACCTTTTTTTTTTTTTTTCTGTACG